GTGATGCATCAATCTCACCAGCCTGTGGTGATGCATCAATCTCACCAGACTGTGGTGATGTATCAATCTCACCAGACTGTGGTGATGCATCAATCTCACCAGACTGTGGTGATGTATCAATCTCACCAGCCTGTGGTGATGCATTAATCTCACCAGACTGTGGTGATGCATCAATCTCACTAGCCTGTGGTGATGCATCAATCTCACCAGACTGTGGTGATGCATCAATCTCACCAGACTGTGGTGATGTATCAATCTCACCAGACTGTGGTGATGCATCAATCTCACCAGACTGTGGTGATGCATCAATCTCACCAGCCTGTGGTGATGCATCTTCTCCTCTGAACTGAACACGCTCTCCCACAAGGCACTAATCTCTCAAAAACGTGAACGATTTGCTAGTCTCACTCACATTCGCCAAGGGCTGTGTTTATAAAGCCATCCCCCTAACACAATAAAATTCCTATCGCCTGGAGAGACGGAAAGGTACCAACATAAGATGCGTTAAGAATGTATAGACCTTGCTCAAAACTGTGTGCTAGGAAACTTGAGGTCGACTTGCACACCAGGTCGACTTGTCCGCCTCAGTTCAGGGTAGTGTCTGTGAAGATATCTTCATTTCGTTGTCCATGAAGTTCTCACTATTTGTCTATAAACCTACGGACATGACTCTTTTGAATGCAGCTTGTTGGTTTCTCTCCTCTCAGTCAGATACACTCGGACTTTGAAGGCAACACACCTAATTCGTCGCCACCTACGACATGCTTGATAGGGGGTAGTGGGTCTACACTTTGTTATTTAGAATGGAGCACTTGAACCCACAGGGGAAGTACCCATGTTAGGCTACCTCGACCCGGGAGCAAAGTTCATGGTATGGACTGGAACTAGGGACATTTGGGACTTACTAGCCAGCCCGTAGCCACCCCACTAATGCGGCTGCCATCCAAAATTGAGGGCTGAAACTACACTCCCTGACCTTTGTTCAAGTGTAATCCCTGTAATTCCCTGAAATCCCCACACCAAAGATGACGGTATAAACTTGATAATATCAACTGGACTGAGGGATTAATCAGAGACGCCAGGTGACATAGTGATCTGCCTTGTTTGTTTCATGTTTATTGTCTGTGTCTGGTGTTTACCATCGTTAAGTATTTTACTTTTTTTTAAACAAGTACTTTTAAATCATTTGTAAAACAAACATCTAGTTATTGTCTTTGAATCGGAGGTATTTTATTCTCTCTATTCTCCGTTTATTCTTCTTTCTATATTTCTCTTTTTCTCTCTCTCATTTTCTATCTCTCTTTCTCTCACTCCTCTTTCTTTCCCCCTCTTCTTCGTTTTCTCTCCCTGTCTTCTTCTCTTTTATTATCTTCTTCTTTCTGCATCCCTCTCTGGTTCTATGTCCTTCTCTCCTCACTATCTCTAATTCTCTCTATCCTCTCTGTCCAATTCTGTCTTCCTCTCTTCCCTTCTCTTTCTTCGTCATTCACTCCCTATATCTCCTTCTCTCTCTATTTGTCTTCGGCTCCTACTCCCTGTTACTGTTTGTCTCTCTCTTCTCCTCGCAGACAATCCCTGCACCCTTCTTTCTCTCCCTTCTCGACGAGCTCTCTATATGTCTCTTTCTCCCCTCTCTCTCTTTCTCTATGTTTCTACCCCTCGCTACGATGCCTCCATCATCTCTCTACTCTTTCCATTGATCTGTATCACTCTTTTCCTTCTATCTTTTCGTTGCTCTCTCTATCCCTCACTGTGTATGTCTCCTGTGTCTCTTTCTACCTCTCTTTTCACTACTCATTTTATCACTCACTCTTTCCATCTCTCGTTTCATTATCTCTTTCTTACACTTCCATATCTTTTTCTCTTTCTATTCATCGATTTCCCTCTTCGCATTCACTAAATCGACTTCCATTGATATGTCTTGTTCTCTCTGTCCCCCTCACCCCCTTTTCTGCCAATACCCTTTCTCTCTCTCCCCTCCCAATGTCTTCCTCCTTCTCGCCCTTTGTGTTTCTTTAATAAATTACTAAGGGTAGCGCGGTGATTTCGGTCACAGGCATGAGGCAAAGTTAAGTCTGATGTGAGGTGTATAAGGAGATACTCCGTACCCCACTCGGGCGCCAGTCCTTCACTGTTCTGGTTTTACGGAACCTCATGCAAGACTCCTGCTGCACGTCCACGTCGTGCGCCACGGATAATGTCTCAAATGAGCATTAACAGAGTTGGCAGGGGAACTCGGAGCTGGCGGCCCCTAGAGGTGTAGTGTCCTTTCTGGCTCTCACCAGCCCGCCCCCAAACGCATGGGTGAAAAGTCTAACAAAACTCAACAATCGCTTGCTAAATGTACCATCAAATGACAACTCTTGGTTAAAATTCGGGAGGGAATTTAAAACTGTGCTGCTGAGACTCAACCCTGACCGAGAGATTTACCCGCAGCCAAGACGAGTAACATGTCTTGTGGGCGACTTCTCGCAGCAAGATCCTACCTAAGTACATCCTCAATCCTCAGTGTCGTCGTCACCGCGCTGAGGCACACCACGGCAGCAACTTTTCATATGCTGGCTTGGAAATAATGTCCGACAAAGTTATACCCCACGGCACACATGCAAGCTCAGAGTCCGACGATCATAATTCGTACCGATTAGGAAAAAGTCCGAATGTCCGTATCCACTGGTCCAACTCGCCCGAGTGTTGGAACCAAACAGGTGAAGCCACGCCTGACGCATTTTGCTTCCCCATTCTGTCGTGCTAAGGGCACAGCTGAAACAACGTTAAAGGTGTCTAACGTAAGATGAAAAAGAATGTACCTATTTGTGTGGCCACAAACGTCCTAGACCTGCGGGCTGCTCCCCGCTGATCTCCGGAGAGCGCAGCCTTGTAGCGCAGGAAGCTCAATACACGGTTGTGAGGTTAAGCAGTCATGGGCAGGACGTGACGATTCCTTGGGTGAGCCCAGAACCAGAGCATCATGTGTCGGCTCTGCATTTATGGAAGCCTCCTTGGATGGCGGGGAATGCCCATGATCTGCCCCTGCCTTCCCTTGAGGGCTGAAAACTCTACATAGAGCTGCCTTAAGGACGACATGCCGGGGGCCACACCTGTTAAAAGTCAAAGAGGACATCACACAAATGAGGCAACATCTCGACCCACACAAAACAATGGCCACAGTCAACCTAGAAATAGGCTTGACGTCTTCCTCCGAAGTCGGAGTACATCTGCCGGAGAGGCGGGGAACGAGAACTGCAAACAAATAAGCCAGTAAAACGGATGTACACGCAAAACTCAGGTCAAGGTAAAAGCCAAAAGTCCATTTTGGACGAACAACCGCGACTTACCGCCGGAATTCACAGCCGGTGAACAAGAAGAAGAAGAAGAATTACTATGGGACCCTTCTCTCTCTCTGTCTTTCTCTGCCTCTGAACTCCTCCAACTTTCCAACCATCACGATGTACTCCCGTTTTCCATTTCTCGAGGAGTTGGTGAGTAATGCAGATTGCCTACTGGTTCTAAATTAGAGTACGCGAATGTTTTGTTGTTGTCTCTGCTTGAATATTTTCTTAATTTCTCTCAACTGCTCTAGACGTGCGAATGTGTGACAGTGTCGCTATATCAGGTGCTTTATTTTCTTTCGTGGGCACTCTCCCTTCTCTCTCTCTCTCTCTCTCTCTCTCTATCTCTCTTACTCTCTTTCTCTCCCTGTGTGTGTGTGTGTGTCTCATCTATCTATCTATCTATCTATCTATCTATCTATCTATCTATCTATCTATCTATCTATCTATCTATCTATCTATCTATCTATCTATCTATCTATCTATCTATCTATCTATCTATCTATCTATCTATCTATCTATCTATCTATCTATCTATCTATCTATCTATCTATCTATCTATCTATCTATCTATCTATCTATCTATCTATCTATCTATCTATCTATCTATCTATCTATCTATCTATCTATCTATCTATCTATCTATCTATCTATCTATCTATCTATCTATCTATCTATCTATCTATCTATCTATCTGTCTATCTGTCTATCTGTCTATCTGTCTATCTGTCTATCTGTCTATCTGTCTATCTGTCTATCTGTCTATCTATATCTATCTATCTATCTATCTATCTATCTATCTATCTATCTATCTATCTATCTATCTATCTATCTATCTATCTATCTATCTATCTATCTATCTATCTATCTATCTGTCTGTCTGTCTGTCTATCTATCTATCTATCTATCTATCTATCTATCTATCTATCTATCTATCTATCTATCTATCTATCTATCTATCTATCTATCTATCTATCTATCTATCTATCTATCTATCTATCTATCTATCTATCTATCTATCTATCTATCTATCTATCTATTTATCCATCCATCCATCCATCCATCCATCCCATCCATGCATCCGTCCGTCTGTCTGTCTGTCTGTCTGTCTGTCTGTCTGTCTGTCTGTCTGTCTGTCTGTCTGTCTGTCTGTCTGTCTGTCTGTCCGTCCGTCCGTCCGTCCGTCCGTCCGTCCGTCCGTCCGTCCGTCTGTCCGTCTGTCTGTCTGTCTGTCTGTCTGTCTGTCTGTCTGTATGTCTGTCTGTCTGTCTGTTCTTCTATCCATCTATCCATCTATCCATGCACCCACCCATCAATCCATCCATCCAATAATCCAGTGAATTATTTTCTTTGTTAATTTTACTTAAGTCTTGTTCCGCGTATCTAACTTTTTTTTTTAACACAGAAAAACCTCACAGTGCATTAACAACATTTACCACAACACACATATTTCTCTGACTATAAACACAAAGACATGTCAGGTTCACAAGAGGAGGGGCTAAAACACGATTCATTTCAATGGGTGGGGCATACATAATTATGTCCAATAGGAAAGCAGTAACAAAGGCAAGTCAAATGTAGATAATGTATTTAATCTTGGTATTGTTTTGAAAAATATTTATTATTTTGATGAACACTGAACGACCTAAGAGCTGTCAACTGTAACTTCAGATGAAGATTTTCTTACGAAACGTTAACTGTTTACATATATTCAGGTTAGTTTATGTGTTTGTTTCTATCTTTGTAGTTTTGCTTCTATGTTTCTATATTGTTGTATACGTAACATCAAAGGCGCTTGCACACAAAACAAAAACAACACTGGGAGGGTTATACCTTTCTACAGATTTGGGCTTATGCAGCTAAGGTTCCAGGTTCCAGACCCTGCCTGTAACACACAAAATATTATGTATTTTGTTGTTTTAGTATTGTTTCCCTTCAAGAATGCAGTCTGTAGGATTATACATAGCAAGTATGAGAGTCACACTGGTACAAATCTGGGAGCCCCGTGTAATCATATCGCCATGCATAGTACGTTTGAAAAAGAATGCTCTCGCATTCTAACAAACATCTCGAAAACTCCTAAAATGATCAACACGAAATTGTACATAGGGCCTTAGATTTACTATTTACTTATGATTCTATATTTACAACTGCGCAGGTGTTGCTGTTTTCTTAATGCGGCGAATTTTTTGATCCTTGTTTGGTTAATAATTTCTTTTACCCCTTTAAAAAACATTCAATATACATTAACTGAGTGGAGATTGTTTAGAAATCAGTTAACATATCCTGCGACGCCTGGTAATTATTTTGATAGCATACCCCGCATGCAATCAAAAATCCAGTTTATGTGAGACATTCAGGAGACGACAACCTAAAAGTTAAACGCCTGTGGCGCAGGTGCCATTTTAGGAAGTTCTAGTTATTCAGTTAACTGGAAGCATACCGTTTGTTTGTTGTTAATCTGCTGCTGTTTCCCTCCCTCCACCCCCTTAAAAAAAATCCATACCGCAAACAAAGTAAAATTAAAGCTTCGTGTTTGTTTACATTAGAGAGAGAGAGAGAGAGAGAGAGAGAGAGAGAGAGAGAGAGAGAGAGAGAGAGAGAGAGAGAGAGAAAGAGAAAGAGAGAGAAAAAACCCTTAAAAGAACATGATTATTAATACATTGTATGCCGAATTTTAACAATTTATTTACACCAAACAACTACTGAATTACATATTTTTAAAGTTAGTCTTAACTTCTGGAACGGACTATAGCGGAGATACACTGGGGCACCACAAAACGGTTACTAAGCAACCTGTAGTCCAGTGTGGGTGGTCTGATGTGACGAGCTAGCATTTAGGAAAGAGAATGTTTGGCCTATACATGAAGAACCTTGCTCATAGACTATGAGTACGAGTTGAGAAAGAGAATGTTTGGCCCGTTCATGAAGAACCTTGCTCATAGACTATGGGTACGGGTTGAGAAAGAGAATGTTTGGCCCGTTCATGAAGAACCTTGCTCATAGACTATGGGTACGAGTTGAGAAAGAGAAAAACTGGAGTACATCATGATAACAGGAAAGCTGGAGTGGAAAACAGACAGAGACCGAGGAGAACATGCTTAAGTATAGACTCGTTAAAACCCTAAAATTTTCCATGGCCACTTTCCATGGCAGTAATTTCTCAGCTTTTTTGAAATCACGCTTTCCACCCAGAAAAAAAAATACTATATCCTTTAATATTTGTTTTCTATTAATTATTTAAAGGTACAAGTCTACTACTACTATGCTGCTACTGCTGCTACTGCTACTGCTGCTACTGCTGCTGCTGCTACTGCTATTCTGCTGTTGCTGTTACTACTACTACTATTATTACTACCATTACTACTACTGGAACTACGCAACTACTACTACTACTACTACTACTACTACTACTACTACTACTACTACTACTACTACTACTACTACTACTACTACTACTACTACTACTACTACTGCTACTACTACTACTACTACTACTACTACTACTACTACTACTACTACTACTACTACTACTGCTGCTGCTGCTACTACTACTACTACTACATTTTATATTACTACTGCTGCTGCTACAACTACTACTATTGTATTATCACTTACGAATAGATTATTAATATTATTATTTTTATTTATTATTATCATAATTTTTTTTTACCATTATCATCGTCATTTTTACGATGAATATCATCACCACCATTATCGTTATTCTTATATTGCCACATCACTAAGACAATCCTGTTGAGATGTCTAACATATGTTCTAGTATGTCCAGAAACTGCTGTCTCCTCATGCTCTTTTTGATGGCCACGACTTCAGACTTAGTCCAAGGACAGCTGCCATACTCCTCCAACCCTCCAGCCTACGAGATACCTCCGCTTGGGGTCATCCACGAGTACCAGAGGCAGCTGGAGGACGACATTTACGCTGTTGAGAGGAAAGCTGAATGTGAGTGATTATCATCGTAGTGTTTATCATCGCAGTGACTATCATCGTTGGCAGTGACTATTATCATAGAGACTATCATCGTAGTGACTATCATCGTAGTGACTATCATCATAGAGACTATCATTTTAGAAACTATCATCGTAGAGACTATTATCGTAGTGACTATCATCGTGGCGACTATCATCGTAGTGACTGTCATCATAATTAATAATAAAAAATAACTCTGAAGCTAATAAATGAAAACGTTCAACTGAAACACCACATCATCTAAATTCGCAAGCTGTAGCCGATTTGCCAGAGCCAAGGCATGTTCACGACACAATGTCATTTTGTGTGCACAAATCTGAACGGAAGTGATTTATTGTAGTATATAATATCTTGAGGCCTAGAAGGTGTGATTTTACAGAAGAATTCTTAAAATTCCTTGGACAGCTAAGAAGAGCAACCCAGTGGTTTTAAAAAAGACAATTGCTCGAAGACAACGATTCACAAACATCAGAAAGAGACAGTTGTCGGTTTTTTTCGTATGGTCATGTTATGTGAAGGGGAAAACTGGAAGATGCTGTGACTACTGGAAGGATCTGTTGAAAGAGAGACAGAGGAAAACAGCGAGAAAAGATTCAAGCCTGCCTTTTGTCACGGCATGGAAGTGTGTCAGCACACGAACTGATACACGCATTTGGGAATCAAGGATTGTGGAGAGGCCTGATCGCCCATGCCAGTCGGCAAGGTACATGATGATATTGTACGTTTATTATAGTATGCACCTAAAGGGAAAAGGCAAAATGTGAATTCATTGATTTATTATCTTTATATATGTCATATAGTGTTCTCAATCTATTCTTCCAAACTGTCTCTCATTTTGTGCAGTCATGGATAGAATCAAATCCAGAACCTTTGGCTTATCCCATAAAGTTTTCTTTAGTGTTTCTCTGACGTCCTTGTTTCTACAATCTCTTTATTTCCCATTTCAGTGCTGGTGAGAATGAAACAAGTATGTTTTTATTGTACAATGGTGTAAACTTTGTTTCTTTTCAACTTCACAGCTCTTGCCCATCGCGAATGTAAGTATATCTTTTGTAACCTTTTACTTGAGTTTAGTTTTTGGAAGCGATATTACAACACTCTGGACATTTCCATAAGCACTCAGTTCCCATCTTTAGCAGCAACAAAGAGTTCCATCTTCGATAGTAACAGTAACAGTCTGATTATAAGTCCGGCTTGTCTTTTCTCTTAGAATGGAATGTCGGCCAAATGCCATAGTCACTCCCGGCTGCGCCATTCTATTGAGACTGATAATCTAAGTGTGTGCCCGCACTGTTCACGCCCTCACAGAGGGTCTTAACAGCTTCTAGCTTGTCGTTCATCAGTTCACCATCGAGTGGTGCAGATTCAGCGAGTCTGTCTGCCTGTTCGCTCCCCAACACACCCCTACGCCCTGAAGAAAATATGGGCACCACGTACTATCTTGGAAAGTATATTCGGCTGGGGTGATGCTGACCATATCCACACCGACGCCGATTGGTCTATACAGGTTTGAAGCTAGCATCGAATGCTAAGTACTCCCCGTGTGGGTTCCGGGACCCTATGGAGGGAAAAGCCAGAATAAACCCACTGCCTCGCCAACAAGCATATCGTAACAGTCGAATGCTGACTTTCTATGAGGTCGGGGAGCATCTGCCCGAGCGGCAGTTAAGGTGTACCAAGGACAGAGAATGACCGCGACACATAAGTTGACAAGTTTTCAAATGTAAATGACATCGAGCGACTAAGCCGTTCTAATGGGAAAGATCATCGGGCAACTGGAGTTATACCAGTGTCGGTGCCTTTGATTTACCAACACGTCTCAGTGGTCTATTTATTTCTCTTTGTAAAACGTTATTCTTATGTGTCTGAGAACGGTTAAGGGGACAAAACCAGTGAAATTCCTAGCTCTATTAGGTTACCTTCATTCTACAATACCTTTAAAAAAAATCATGAACCTCCACCATAAGGCTAAAAAATTAATAAAAGAGAGACCTTCACTGCTTATTTGCTACCTTTATCTGACAACCGAGGGGGCTGCGTGGTCTCGAGGCATAGTGTCGAATGCTAGAGGTTCCGGGTTCAGTCCCCGGAAAGGGCTACGATTTTGTCACGTGGACTTGGAAATTCTAGTAATTCCCCCTGGTCTCTGTGTAGTGAGATCGGACGCCCGTGTGCAGTGTTGCGCTGGTAAAAAACCTTTTCATAGTTGAAAATCGAAAAGAGTAGCCTAACCGCGCTGCCCGAGCAAAATTTTGAGTTAAAAATCTACCCAAAGTATTTCAGGATCCTCGCCGGTGCTACAGAGCCTGTGCGCTGAATTTCTTCGGACTCCGACTTGCGTTAGAAGAAGAACGGCATGATGTTTTGAAATGTTTGAATTTTTTTAACTTTGAATTTAAAAAAAAAAAAATAACTTTCGAACCTTTTAATAGTATATCGTAATATTAGAGAAATATCTATTCCGACTTTATATTCAATATCAAAACCATTTGAAGTTTTTAATTTACTTTTTATATTTCTACGACCACCTTATATACACCATACTCTGATGTGACCTCTTTTCTAAAAATACCCGGAAGTGACCTTCACCGCTCAATTAGGCGGTGTACAAAGAATATATAGCGCACCCGCCTCCACAAACGATATAGATTTTCTAATGTAATACTACTAGCATTTTCTGTCCCTTAACAAGCATTTCCTGCGCCCATAGAAAGCATTTCCTGCCCCTTAACAAGCATTTCATGCCCCCTCAGCAAGCATTTCCTGCGCCCACAAAAAAAGCATTTCATACCCACTTAACAAGCATTTCCTGTCCCCTTAACAAAGCATTTCCTGTCCCCTTAACAAAGCATTTCCTGTCCCCTTAACAAAGCATTTCCTGTCCCCTTAACAAAGCATTTCCTGCCCCCTTAACAAAGCATTTCCTGTCCTCCTTAACAAAGCATTTCCTGTCCCCTTAACAAAGCATTTCCTGTCCCCTTAACAAAGCATTTCCTGTCCCCTTAACAAAGCATTTCCTGTCCCCTTAACAAAGCATTTCCTGTCCCCTTAACAAAGCATTTCCTGTCCCTTTAACAAAGCATTTCCTGTCCCCTTAACAACCATTTCCTGTCCTCTTAACAACAATTTCCTGTCCCCTTAACAAAGCATTTCCTGTCCCCTTAACAAAAGCTTTCCTGCCCCTTAACAAAGCATTTCCTGTCCTCCTTAACAAAGCATTTCCTGTCCCCTTAACAAAGCATTTCCTGTCCCCTTAACAAAGCATTTCCTGTCCCCTTAACAAAGCATTTCCTGTCCCTTAACAAAGCATTTCCTGTCCCCTTAACAAAGCATTTCCTGTCCCTTTAACAAAGCATTTCCTGTCCCCTTAACAACCATTTCCTGTCCTCTTAACAACAATTTCCTGTCCCCTTAACAAAGCATTTCCTGTCCCCTTAACAAAGCATTTCCTGCTGCCTTAATAAGCATTTCCTGCTGCCTTAATAAGCATTTCCTGTCCCCTTAACAAAGCATTTCCTGTCCCCTTAACAAAGCATTTCCTGTCCCTTTAACAAAGCATTTCCTGTCCCCTTAACAACCATTTCCTGTCCTCTTAACAACAATTTCCTGTCCCCTTAACAAAGCATTTCCTGTCCCCTTAACAAAGCATTTCCTGCCCCCTTAACAAAGCATTTCCTGTCCTCCTTAACAAAGCATTTCCTGTCCCCTTAACAAAGCATTTCCTGTCCCCTTAACAAAGCATTTCCTGTCCCTTTAACAAAGCATTTCCTGTCCCCTTAACAACCATTTCCTGTCCTCTTAACAAACATTTCCTGTCCCCTTAACAAAGCATTTCCTGTCCCCTTAACAAAGCATTTCCTGCTGCCTTAATAAGCATTTCCTGCTGCCTTAATAAGCATTTCCTGCGCCAATTTAAAAAAAAAGCATTTCCGGCAACTTGTTAGGAGTGTTTCCTTCAGAGTGCATCTGCCTGAATGCAAGAAACAAAGTCTGCTTACAAATAAGCCAGATCTGTGAAACTGATGTGCTCGAAGAACTTAAGAAGAAGAAGAAGAAGAAGAAGAAGAAGAAGAAGAAGAAGAAGAAGAAGAAGAAGAAGAAGAAGAAGGAAGAAGAAGAAGAAGAAGAAGAAGAAGAAGAAGAAGAAGAAGAAGAAGAAGAAAGAAGAAGAAGAAGAAGAAGAAGAAGAAGAAGAAGAAGAAGAAGAAGAAGAAGAAGAAGAAGAAGAAGAAGAAGAAGAAAAAGAAGAAAAAGTAAAAGATAAAGAAGAAGCAGAAGAAGAAGAAGAAGAAGAAGAAGAAGAAGAAGAAGAAGAAGAAGAAGAAGAAGAAGAAGAAGAAGAAGAAGAAGAAGAAGAAGAAGAAGAAGAAGAAGAAGAAGAAGAAGAAGAAGAAGAAGAAGAAGAAGAAGAAGAAGATGAAGAAGAAAAAGAAGAAAAAGTAACAGATAAAGAAGAAGAAGAAGAAGAAGAAGAAGAAGAAGAAGAAGAAGAAGAAGAAGAAGAAGAAGAAGAAGAAGAAGAAGAAGAAGAAGAAGAAGAAGAAAAAGAAGAAGAAGAAGAAGAAGAAAGAAGAAGAGAAGAAGAAAGAAGAAGAAGAAGAAGAAGAAGAAGAAGAAGAAGAAGAAGAAGAAGAAGAAGAAGAAGAAGAAGAAGAAGAAGAAGAAGAAGAAGAAGAAGAAGAAGCACAACAACAACAACAATAATAGAAAGAGAAAATTTGTCTTTCAACCACCCAAACGACTAACCAATAAACTAACCAACCAACCAACCAGTCAACTACGCAAACAACTAGCCACTTATCGAAGCAGCCAACCAACCAATCAGGTAAATAATTGGAGATTTTAATAAACAACGATAGTGACACACATATTTTTATTTCAACAGGCGTTTCTGGTGAAGAAAACTTCCTGTTCTGCCCTCTAACCCTGAATATCTTCGACTTCACTACTTGCATCATCAACCCTCAAACCGCCCAAGGAGCTGATGCCCTTACTCGAGGTATCAAGTTCCCCTCAAGTGCCTTTTCCTCAACGCCATCCGTGGCTGTTGGCATCTCGGGGATTGGAACCGGACCCACTTGTGGCGTGAAGGTTTGATTGCAGTATTTTTTTTTTTTTTGTATGCATGATGTGTATCTATCCTCCTTCACCACCTCCTGCAACTCAATGTAAGTAGGACTATCCTTCGGCAACTTAATACGTTTATGTATTTCCGTACCCTCATAACTGCTTATTAATGACTTTATTATACCACTTTTGTGGTGTAGGCAGGGGGTCTTTGAGCCTGGGGATTTACGGCCGCATGGCTGTTGCTGTCGCCATGACTGTACAGGTAAAGATTTTATCCTCCTAACAGCAGATGGAAAATGTACTAAAGAAGTTAAATGTGGAATAGCGGCAGCAAAGGTAGCATTTTACAACATGAACAATACTCAATGCAATCTTTTCTTGTCAGCTGATGTGAGAAAGAGCTCAAGTGCTAAACAAATCCTATCATGATAAATAGAAGTGAATCATGGACAGCTGGGCAATTATTAAATTGATGTGGTAGTGGCAGTGGCAGTGATGTGATTTCACTGACAAATGATGCGATCACCCTGGAAGAATCTTGAAAGAAACTGACTGGTAAAGAGAACTGATAGTCCACATCAGAAGGAGAGAATCTAATTGTTTGGTCACTTCGAGAAAAGGAGAAAAGTGGAGTACATCGCTGGTGGTAGGAAACGTAGAGAGGAAAAGAGGCAGACGAGGAGTGAGAAAAAAAGAAGACGAGGTAGAATAAGATTAACATAAGTTGACAGTTTTCAAATGTAAATTAGGACCAAAATGACATCGAGCGACTCAGCCGTTCTAATGGGAAAGATCATGGGGCAACTGGAGGTATACCAGTGTCGGTGCCTTTGATTTACCAAGAAGTCTCAGTGGTCTATTTATTTCTCTTTTTAAAACGTTATTCTTATGTGCCAAAGAACGGTTAAGGGGATAACACCAGTGAAATTCCTAGCTCTATTAAGTTACCTTCATTCTACAATACCTTTAAAAAAAAAAATCATGAACCTCCACCATTAGGCTCGAAAATAAACATCAATGCAAAGAGAGACCTTCTCTGCTTATTTGCTACCTTTATCTGACAACCGAGGCGGCTGCGTGGTCTCGAGGCATGGTGTCGAATGCTAGAGGTTCCGGGTTCAATCCCCGGAAAGGGCTACGATTTTGTCACGTGGACTTGGACTTCTAGTAATTCCCCCTGAAGAAGAAGAAGAAGAAGAAGAAGAAGAAGAAGAAGAAGAAGAAAAAGAAGAAGAAGAAAAGGAAGAAGAAGAAGAAGAAAAGAAGAAGAAGAAGCGACAGCAGCACACTCTTATATGTGACATATTTCAGGTGGAAGCCACAGATGTGTATGCCAGCGGGTTCAACATCCAGATAACTGGAGGTTTCCTCTTGTACCCATTCTCCTTGAAGGTGACATGGATAGCTTGCCCAACCAGACAACCATTGAACACCACCGTGAGAGGTAAGTCAACTTGCGTAATTTATAGCAGTGGTCTTTAATCTCCCCCCTCCCCCAGTCCCTCCCCCACCCGCAGCCCACCAAAACGACAAAAGGGGGGGGGGGAGGGGGGGAGGCCATTGATTCTAGGACAGCTGATAACCAAATACAGAAAAAACAGACTCGTTTCACTAGTTTCACTATTCAGCTAAGCTGGTACTCCCGTTCAAATCGATAACAGAAGAGTTTTAAGTCGGCAAGGTAAGACTCACCATGCTCTTGCGCGAGTCTTCAGACTCAAATGTCATCGCTGTCCAGCCCGCTCTCAAGACTGGGCAGAAGTGGAGGGTCCTCGATGCGATTGAATCTGCGCAGAACGCACTAAAATTGAAGGAGATAATGGGATACACTAAAACCGACCGTCGAGGCCTAGGGCACCGGAAGGTCAATTGGTGGTCAAAGGCCTCAGCCAAGGAACGCCGAGACATAGTTATACAAATGGTGATGGGCAACGAAAACGAGGTTCGTTTCCATAAAGCAGCCCAGTAGTCGCAGCAGAGCCATTGGGTCAGCCTTGAGAGCGCATTGCCAAGAATACTCAAATGGGGTGAGATCTGGCGAATGACCCCGCTGCGACTGAGCTTTATCGTTTTTTCGGCGTACGATGTATTACCGTCCGGTGTTAACATGGTTAAGTGGTTTGCGACTAACGATCAGACTTGCCCGTTGTGCAAAACGAAGCAGACTCTTGAGCACGTCCTGTCCGCGTGCAGGAAAGCCCTAGGTCAGGGCCGATATACCTGGCGACACAACAAGGTGCTAAAAGAGTTAGCAGCCGTTGTTGACCAGGCTAGATTAAGGGCTAACGCTAGAGCCAGCTCTACCATCGTCCCCATTCGTTTCCTCAAGGCTGGGCAGATTCAAAAAGGTAAGGTCAACCGAAACGCATTCGCTCCATCTGTGCTAGACTCTGCGAGGGACTGGTTACTGGCGGTTGATCTGCCAGGTCATGAAAGGTACCCCGAGTTAATCCGGAAGAACGGCCTGCGACCTGACATAGTTCTCCACTCTGCGGAGAAACGGCAGCTCATCCTGATTGAGCTTACCGTCCCGTATGAGTCGCGTATGGACGAGAGTCACACATATAAGCTCAAGAAATATTGTGACTTAGCAGCCGGTCTGAGGAGAGACGAGGCGTACACGGTACGTGTCTTTGCCGTCGAAGTAGGAGCCCGAGGTCTCGTCTCCACTTCATTGTACAATGTGGTTAAAGAACTAGGATTCCGCGTTAATGAACGGAAACGAACACATAAAAACCTGGGCGAGGCAGCCGAAAGGGCCTCGAGCTGGCTTTGGACGCAACGCAACAACGTAGGGGACGGGCCTCGGTGAGCTGGTCCGGGTTTCTAGTGGAAAAGGGTTTCTCACCCTTTGAAAGTCCATCGTGTCCGAATTGTCTGCCAGTGTTCCTCTGCCACCTGCTAACAAAAGTCCAACATGTGTCCGGTAAACCAAACGTAAGCTTGTCGCTCGGTCGTCCAGGCATGCTGACTGTTCTAATTAGGCTGCCGCAACGACTTCTTATCTCACAGTACCTTTGCAAATCACCAAGTCGTCTTGTCCCTATCCGATAGAAAAAACACCATCCGGTAATTCGTGTAGCCCTGAGCTTCATGAACTCAGGTGGGCGGACCTCCGAAAGTGTCTAGGAATCGTGGGCCGAAACACTTGTCAACGAGGATAACTTCTGCTGATGACTGGTAGATCCCTGCTGTACTTGCTCCCTGTGAGTTTATTCCTATATTCGTATTCGTATTCGGCCGAATAGTTGGTCCCGCTATTCGTATTCGGCCGAATAGTGAAAATCACTATTCGGTACAGCCCTAATATATATATATATATATATATATATATATATATATATATATATATATATGTGTGTGTGTGACTGTTTGTGTGTGTTTGTGTATACACACACACACACACACACACACATATATATATATATATATATATATATATATATATATATATATATATATATATATATATAATCTTGTGCACATCATCGTATTCGTCCGCCCTTGCCCCTCCTTCCTGGTACCCCGCCTTCTGCTATTAGTTTTTTTTTTCCCATTCTGCCACTACGCTTAATATGACCAAAGTAATACAGCTCTAGAGTCAAGATAATATTTATCAGCCAAACTCCCTTGATTTTTACTCTTTTTTTTTTTTTTAAATGTCAGTATTTATATGTCTTCTTTATCCACTTCATTCTCAGAATCTTTCTGTAGCACCTTAGCTCACAGCCCATATTTTTTCCCTATTGACTGAGAGATAGTCCAGGACTTACAGCAGTATGTTGCTTCAGGGAAGATGCATAATCTCAACATTTTTAATTATGATTTCCTTACTGGATTTTAGGCAGACATTGTTTAAACAGTACCAAACATGGACCCTTGCTACAACTGAATGTGGAATTAAGAATCGACATAACAACACTCGGGATACTCCCATAAGTGCCCAGTCCCTAACTTCAGCAGCAAGCGAAGAGTTCCATTTCCGATGGCACCAGTAACCGTCTGATTATATATCAGTCTCATCTTTTCCCTGAGTGTTGAGCGTAGGTCACATCCCCTGGTAACTCCTCTCCTTACAATACAACTAATGAGCGAAAGATCGTAACAAAAGAGTTGAGATGTCTCAGGAGAGCTGTCGGTGTGACAAGAAGAGATGAACATCAGGATCAAAGAAATGAGAAGAAGACTAGGACTGAAACCATTTATATAATTCATTAAAGAACAATAAATGAGATGTTTTGGTCCTTGACGAGAATGCCGTGGTACCAACTGCCACAGAGAGCCACGATGAAGAAATATAATGAACACAGCGCAAGGGTAAGACCACGCAAGTATGGAACGACATCATCAGGAGAAATGAACACCAGCTGGTACAATGCATTCGAAAAAGCGCACAAACGATACTTATGCATCCTTTCCCCCCCCCCCCCCCCCCCATCATCTCGCTGAGGTAAATGGTGGAAGAGAAGAAGAAGAAGATTTTCTTGATGTGCTTAAACATAGACTTTTAATGCGTTCGCATAACCTACCCCGTTAAATGAACGGACAGAAATGTTTGCCGGACCACCTGCACTTGTCCAGGCTCCACAAGAGTGCTGTGGCTCACAGGTTGAAGAACACTGCGTTAGAGGATGATGTGATAACACTGGCAGACACTGCAACGTGGCGACTAGACATTCGCTTGCCGCTCCAAACGTCTAGGTCTTCAAAACCACATGGAGGCTGCCTATTATTATTATTATTATTATTATTATTTTTTTTTTTAAAGTTAACACTGACTCCCAGGAAAGATTAGCCTAAAATGGGTCTGAGGTAAATTCCTGGAAAGTAAAGGTAACCTGCTTGACGTTCATTTAGTACCGTATCCATCTCAGAGTCAAAGTGAGGTTGAAAAATCTGCCTCGATGTGCCCCGGGTTTCGGAACCATACGAGATGTACAGTCTAATGGGAGTTTTATATATTGCCATCTTGATTTTAGCTAAGGTTGGGTAGAATGAACTTTATTTCAAAACTGCATTCTAGATTGTATTTATTCTTTTATTATGTTAGAGCAGCTGAGGATTTTACTCAAGTTCTTGCATGTTTTAGTTCCTTTGTTTATTTAAAAAAATTGTTATTTTCTATTTGTATGTGATCGTAGTTATCATTCTTTTCCTTATTGATGTATCTTGTGTTATTGTAAATAATATCTGATCCCATATTTTGAGCTGCTTTCTGTGATTCGGTGATTTATACTTTTAGTTTTTCTCCAGATTAGTCTAAGTCTATCCTCATCATCCTTTGTGTGCCTTTTGTTTTGTTGTTTGTTTGTTTTAGCATCCAGAAGCTATGAGTTGTTAACCCTTAGGCTCGGTATTATGGATATCGCAACCTTTCGGCCTTGATTCCATTGTAAATACCGTAAATCTGGGAGAAAATGTGGCTTTCCTGCCTACCCCCAGGAGTGAACCCGGACCACAAGAAGTTCGTCACCCGGTCTCCGCGCAGTCCGGTTTAGCCAACTACGCTAGAGAGCCGGACGTGTGCCGTTAGACGTCAATTAAAGCTCGCATTCGAAATCCCCTCATTCGACTCTTTTGCATGCAACTTTCTCAAGTTCTCACATGGAGTTCAGCCCAGCGTTTATAGCCTCTCGTAATAGTGTACTTCTTAATTTTTAACTTGGACATCCTTTTTTTTCTCAGAACGTTTGTTTCCCATCCTAGTGCTTGTTTTGTAATTCTTGGCTCATTTCGTCTCAGTCTGCCAAGTATATCACCACCTTCCTTGTCTTTTTGCAGTTGATACAGGAATTTGTCTATGTCATCTGCCTTATGAAGAATTCTTGTAGTTTCTTCTGAAGGACAGTCTTCTTTCACTTTCTCCGTTATTCATGATGAAAAACAACTAATATAATTTTGTTTCGTTTCTTTTCTGTACAGATTTTACACCTAAAAAAGGCGTGCCTCCTCCGCCATATTTCCCTATTAGCTATGGCCCCGTGTCATCTAACAGAGCCGGGAAGAACACCTCATACAACAATAATAACCTCATCTATGCCGACAACCAGCCTCGATACGATGGATCTAAATCAGGTTACGAGGAAAGCTCTCTGCCTGTAGATGAGGATTCAGAAGACGAAGAGACAACCTCATCAAAATCCTCTTCATTCACTTCTGAAGCAACAGCCTCCACCACAGCAACTTCCTCAACTTACAAGACATCCACAACAAAACACGAGGGCGGTGAATCTAAAACCAAAACTACAACACCTGGCGATGATTCTGCAGGGTCTGCTGACTCGACGACAGAAGCTTAGTCAAAGACAGGACCAGAGGCTGACTAGAGGCTGAACAGAGGCTGACCAGAGGCTGACCAGAGGCTAAACAGAGGCTGACCAGAGGCTGACTAGAGACTGACTAGAGACTGACCAGAGGCTGAACAGAGGCTGACCAGAGGCTGACCAGAGGCTGACCAGAACTAAGAAGATGCAGCCCAAACCACGAACCGCTGCTAGCTAGTTAGTCGACATATCATGCTGATTGCACAACGAACCATTCAGTCTATCAATGCACAGACTCCCTCCTCTGTATATCCTCACAGTTGACAACAGCAGTTCTGTGTTCGTTTATTA